GGTATGTGGGTGGACCTTGAGACAGGCTCAAAACTAGCACACTGTTAATTTTTACCACATTCTACTGGCCAGCCACAAGGCAAGCCCAACTTCTAAGTGTGGGGATATAGATTCCACCTCTTAATGGAAGTTGCTTCAAAGTCACATTTCAAGGGGTATACATACAGAGAGAGGGAGATTTGGGACCATTTTTGAAATCATTCCACCACACGCTAGATGCTTTCTAGCGTGTGGTGGAGCTGTGATTTGTCCTCATAGGAATAGACACACATTTCAGATTCAGATTTGACTTCCCTACCTGCAGTGTTTCTGCTAGCCCCATCATCCATGGATGCCTCATCTACATATTCTTGAAAGGACAGGCCAGAGTGGGAAATGAATTTTTTTCTCTTCTTCCTAAATCTTAATACAATGATGAGAAAGTAGAAGCTATGCTTTTGGAGAAATGCACACTTTGAGTAAAAAATTAACTTTGCCAACTTTGTTTTTTTGAAACAGACTTCCTAGTGCCAGGTATCTCATAGGGAAGATATCATACAATGGTCGACTGTAAAAGTCATGGAACTTGTAATTTCAAAAAGTTATGGCCCGCCCAGAGGGGGAGCGGGTGGGGACTTAATCTTCCAGTAGAAGGGCCTTATCTACAGGGAAGTCAAGGACCCCCAAAGCTACCTACTGAGAATGCCTGGGAAATGAGGAAGTGTACACTCCATTAGCGCCAAGGAATGTCATTGGGGAAGATACAGGAGAATTAGAATCCTTGTCACACCCTTCTCTAGGTCTATGATAATGTGGGTGAACATTAATGAGTCTCTGTGTCACAGGATCTCCAAGACATCCACAGGTGGACTATAAGGAAGACATGTGCTGTCACCTGCACTCACGTGCAGTCACGAGCAAGATCTCCAAGGAAAAGATTTAAGCCAAGACTATGAGGCCACACTCACCTGTCTGTGGTGGGTGAACTTTTCTTAAATAAATCTTTTCTTCTCTCACCTCTGTGTGTCACAATTCTTTGCATCTACTTGGATCTCTGGGTTGCCGGCGCACACCTCCGGGTTGCCAGCTCCGGCAGTGCTGCGCACCTCCTGCCTCGCGTCTCCACCCTCACCCGGTCTGTCTGGACTCTAACATTTTTAATTGCGTATTTTATTTTATTTTATTTTTGAGTTGGAGTCTCACTCTGTTGCCCAGACTGGAGTGCAGTGGCCGTTCCTGGCCACCGCAGCCTCGAACTGCTGGGCTCTGGCGGTCTTTCCGCCTCAGTCTTCCGAGTAGCCGGAATTACAGGCATGCGCTACCACGCCCGGCTCATTTTTTGATTTATTGTAGAGATGAGGTCTCACTGCCCAGACGGGTCTTGAACCCGCGGGCTCAGGCAATCCACTCACCCCAGCCTCCCAAAGGTGCGGGATTACAGGCTGAACCACCGAGCCCGGCTATGTATTTTATTTTCTGGTGAAAGTATCATAGTCAAGAAACTCGTTGGTACTGCCAGGAACCCCATCACTCAGATGCAGCTGCTATAATAAAATAGCATGATGAACTTTTGCAGTGAGAGATAAAACATTGTGAGTTTGGGGTGCTGTCTAACAGGTTTGTCACATGCCTTATCCAAGAGCTAAAATATAGTAGTTTCTCCCACGGTTAGAATACATGGGTGTAGTCATCAAAGGTGGAGGTAGGAACAGGTTCTCTTACTGTAACACCTAATAACTCATTTGTGAATTATTGGGCTTAGTAGGTTTGGAATGCTTAGTCCTTGAGGGAAGAACAGCTCTGCTAGAGCAGCGGTTCCCCAACCTTCTTGGCATCAGGGACCGGTTTCGTGGAAGACAATTTTTCCACAAATGTGGGGGCAGGGCAGGAGAGGGGAATGAGGGGGTGGGGTGGGGACAGAGGAATGTGAGGGGTGGGGAGTATCAGGTAATAGATTCTCAGAAGGTGCTAAGGAGCCCGGCAACCTAGATCCTTCGCAAGCGTAGTTCACAATAAGATTCGCTCTTATGTGAATCTAATGCGGTGGCTGATCTGACAGCAGACGGAGCTCCGCTCACACTCACCCACCTTCTGCTGTGTGGTTCGGTTCCTAACTGGCCACTGGTACTGGTCTGCGGCCCACGGGTTGGGGACCCCTGTGCTAAAGAACACAGTCATTGTTCATTACGTTGGAACATGTAGTGAGATTGCCCTTGGCCATTGGGGATCTCTTTGTAGAACCAATAGGCAGCGAAGGAGTTACCATACCAGTCTGGGGGATTGACCCCAAATTCCAAGGGGAAATTGGTTTGCTGTTATACAGTAGAGACAAGGAAGACCGAAGATTCACAGGGCACCTCAACGTATTCTCATATGCAATAATAAAGTTCAAAGGAAAATGGCATCAATTCAATAAACAATGTTTTCAATTTAACATTAGGGAATGCAAGTTCTTGTTTCCATACCAATCTGGCCCCAACTTCTCAACTTTATTTCTATTGCTCCTGCTTGTTCCCTGTATGCACTTTACTCTCTATATGCACTGAATTTCCTTTGGTTTTCCGAATACACCAAACTCCTTGCTAAAGTCATGTGTTTCATAATAATAATGATAATTCTGTTTCATTGATGCTATGTTGCACATTTAACATTTCTGAAATCAAGACACATCTTAAAATTGCTGTTGGCCAATTGTTCGTCTCTAGACTGGGTCATGGTAGTTCACATTGTCATCACTTCAACTGAGCTTTGTGCAATTTTGGTACTACATGTTCTGTCTTTAACTGCTGCTGTTTTAAATTTTGGCATTTTTTCTTAATGTAATGAATATAATAATCGTTTGTTTTACAATTGTTGGCACCTGGGATTTACTAGAATATGGTGAGAGACCCAAGAAACCAAGAAACTTAAAAAGTCATACTTGCTGTAAAAGTAGTGTTTAGTTCACTATATTTTATATATCCCTACCTCATGTTCATTGTACTTTATGAAATCTTAGTACTTTAAATCCTACCTCAGACCCCGTAGAATTAGGCATATGTCGGGTGCCGGGTAGCAACTGATT